ATGAAGAGTTAAGGGTGGCACACCCATTGATCTTCTCTGGAAGTACCACTCCAGAAGTTCCCCCTGATGCTGCCTTCAGTGACTGGCATCACCAGGGGGGCATTATCTTCCTTGGGAAGGGGTATGGGCTGGGCACTGGTCTGTGTGGTACCTGTGGCATAAGGAGACTGGTGCAGTCTGACTTTTACAGAAGGGTGGGACTGGAGTGGCTGAGGGGCTTACAAATTGAAAGAGGCAGAGCTCTAGGAAGACATGGTACATTTCCAGTTTCTGTGGAACAAACACTTGTGTCTTCCTGAAACTCACTGTAGAGCCTTCACTCCTGAGGTGACCCTATTAGGAAAAGGTTTTGGGGGCTGATGAGGTCATGAAGGTGGAGCCTCATGGGTTGGGACTTGTACCCTAAATGCAGGCCTGTAGGCTGGATACTGCCTGCAAATGAGGGCCAAGGGATGGAACTAACGTGATTACTCCTTCATGAGGTAGAAGGGTCATCTCATGTTGCCCTGACCAGGGTTACATGCTGGTAGCTGCACTAAGAACACCGCAAGGCACTGGGTGCACTCTTTGCACTGGGTGCATTACAGTGTGACACCAAGGGGCAGCACACATAAGCTCTTGTGTGGGTGGCTCTGGGGTGACAAAATGCTTCTTGGTGCCAGGTACTATCTAGCTCAGTGTGGTCACCAAGGGAAGAGGAGGGCCCTGCTCACCACTGGTTAGGTGCCATGGAAGCCCAGGTGTTTTGGACACTGAGGTTGAGTAAATCCATGGTTGGAGTGGGTGGGGGAGGCCAAGATCATCTCCTTAACCTGGACTCAGGCTGACCTGAGCCATGAAATTTGGAAAATGGGCATTATGCTCAGATCTGAGACCTTGATATGCAGAGCAGGGGTATGGTGTGGTATAAGCAGCCCTACCTCTCAGCCTCCTTGCCATAAAGGGTTTGAGTTGTTCCCCAAAGGGATAAAATGATGTTCCCTGAGTTGTAATTAAAATGAAAAGAAAAGGGTAGGTTGTAGTCACCTCTTTCTATCTGACTGTGTGCTAGACACCCTCCTAAGTTGCAAAGCTGAAGGTAAAGGTCAGAAGTGCATGCTTGAAAATGGTTGAGAGCGCTGTCATCTTGTGGGAGCGAAACCAACGCCTGGCTCAAAGCGGCTACCGCTGAGGTCTCTGGCCAGTTTCTGTTCCATGCATCCACAAGCATGGGGAATATCTTCGCAAACCTCTTCAAGGGCCTCTTTGGCAAAAAAGAAATGCGCATTCTCATGGTGGGCTTGGATGCTGCCAGAAAGACGACTATTCTTTATAAACTGAAGCTTGGTGAAATTGTGACCACCATTCCTACCATAGGTTTCAATGTGGAAACGGTTGAATACAAGAACATCAGCTTCACCGTGTGGGATGTGGGTGGTCAGGACAAGATTCGACCACTGTGGCGCCACTATTTCCAGAACACCAAGGCTTGCTCTTTGTGGTGGACAGCAATGACAGAGAGCGTGTGAATGAGGCCCGTGAAGAGCTCATGAGGATGCTGGCTGAGGACGAGCTCAGGGATGCTGTCCTCCTCATGTTTGCCAACAAGCAGGACCTCCCCAATGCCATGAATGCAGCTGAAATCACAGACAAGCTGGGGCTGCACTCTCTACGCCACAGGAACTGGTACATTCAGGCCACGTGTGCCACCAGTAGGGACGGGCTCTATGAAGGATTGGACTGGCTCTCCAATCAGCTCCGGAACCAGAAGTGAACCAGAATCCCCCTTCCCCTCACTTTCTCCTTCTCTGCCCTCCGCTTTCCTCTCATGTGGCAAACGTTGTGACTCTGTGGTCCTGAGTGCCAGAAGCTGTCTCCATGGGTTGGTCACAGTGTGCACGCATCGTGCTGTACATGTGCAGACGCAGCCTGCAGCCAGGTTTTTATTTAATGTAAATAGTTTCTGTTTCCACTGAGGCAGTTTCTGGTACTCCTATGCAATATTACTCAGCTTTTTTATTGTAAAGAAAATCAACTCACTGTTAGTACTGAGAAGGGATTTGGGTGCATGGGCACCTGGCCTCCAGGAGCCACTGAACTGTAGATTGGTGTCAGGATCCATTTGGTGGTTGGTGTATAACCCAAACTCAGTACATTTTTAAAAATAATTAAAAATCACAAGGTGAGGAGAACGCTTGAACACACAGAAGGGAGACTATTCCTAGTGTGGTTCAGCCTGATCATCAGATCAGCTGTTCCTCTGGGAACTCCAGAGATGTGACGAACAAATGCCATCCACTGCATGGTCACAGTCGAGACCCTGTGGCCCGCCTGTCTTTGGGTCACCTGCATTCCATAGCATTGTGCTTGTACTCATGCTCACATGGTCACCTTGGGGCAGCGGGGAAGGTTAAGAGGGGTACAGGGCCCACCCTCCCCCTCGGTCAGTGTGCAGCTGGAGTGGCAGCCTATTCCTAGTGCCCGCTCGGGACTTGTGTTGGTCAGAGTCTGGGTCTCACCAGCAGGAGCGCATGCAAACTGGGTCACTTGGTCCACTCCAGACCACAGTCCTGGAGCACCCCCACCTCCAAGTGTGAAGTAGCTTCCTCCCTCAGCCTGCAAGGATCCGATTTGCCATCAGAAAAGATGACCTCTACTTTTTTCTTTTGTATTTTGATAAACACTGAAGAAGCTGGAGCTGTTAAATTTACCTTGGGAAACTTCAGAACTGGTTTATTTAGTGTTGTGGAACCTCTTACTGCTTTCAATACACGATTAGTAATCAACTGTTTTGTATACTTGTTTTCAGTTTTCATTTCGACAAGCACTGTAATTATAGCTATTAGAATAAAGTCTCTTAACTATTAAAAAAAAAAAAGAAGAAGAAAAGAAAATGGTTGAATGGTAAATTGTGTGTCACATATGCCTGGATTCAAACTGCAGTACCACAAAAAAAAAAGTAAAGAAAGGAGTAAGACAAACTCTCTGCCTTAAGGTGCTCACAGACTCAAGGAGCTGTCAAAATGAAGCAGTGGTGGCCAAAGTGTGACAGATCCCTTAACAGGAACAGGATGAGGAAGGCAGAACCAGTTTCATTTCTGTGGAAGTTTGTGGCCATCAGGCCTCATAACTTCTGATGGCTCCATCGTTTTATGTCGTCATCTGGTCCCCTCCCTGGCAAAGTAGGGACCAGCTTTCCAGCAGTCACCCAGTTGTCTGGCTTGTCATTGCATTTAAGTGGGAGGTGTATGCTGCAGAGAGACACAGTACATCTTAGTGAGATTTCTCCTGCCCTTGCTCCAAGTGACATAATTGATTATGGTGGAAGCTGTGATATTTTATCTGGACTACAGGACATAAATTTGCTTTATGTTCTTGCTGCACTAATTTTAATATTAATACCTAGGCATGCCATTTATTCTCCCATGGGTGGTAACACAGACATGGGCCTTCCAAAGTGCTCAGTGCCACTGAGCATTGAGATGATGCTGTTAGAGTGAAGGTGTGGAGTGTGGAAGGCTCTGGAGCCCACCCAAGCAAGGGTGCTTGTGCTTCTGCACAGCATCCCCAGAATGCGCTGGCCTCTGGGTTCCAGCCAGCTTTTTCATGTGTGGTGTGATAAATGGGGCGCTTGTGCATTTTCCACAACTTGAAGCCAATTCTGCTGGGGTGGCTGGGACTAAAGTGGAAGCAGTGTTGGGCTTGCTGTTATGATCCTGACAACTGTCAAAGATCGTTTTCTGCCAAAAGTAGTGGTCAGTGTTTTCACTCAGGGGCTATGTCTTTAGGCCACACCCCTGGTCACTGTGAGCCTGTTTCTGCCTTTGTGCAGCAAGGTGAATTCCAGACCTGTAGTTCTGTCGTGTGTTTTTTTTGTTTGTTTGTATTTTAGTACAGGGTCTATAGGGTCTCACTACATGGATCAGACTCATAGTGATCCGCCTGTGTTCAGTCTCCCAAAAGTTGGGATTACAGATACACACCAAAATGCCCAGTCTCAATCTCCATCTCAGTGTGCCCCAGGGG